AAATAAACCCAACACTGGCTCGCTGCTTCATAATTAATCTTTACTTGTGCTTGAAATCAGCACCAGAGATCTTTGCAAAATTACAATTACCAGATATGCTGGATGCCAGAAATAATAAACCCAGCTGCAATACAGGGTGTTAATTCTCTCCTGTATAGGAAGAGAACGTGCTGTGGTATGTTCATCATTTAGTGTCATAAAGTGTGTGCAAATCTTAACAGACTCACAGCTGCACCAAGAGTAAAATTACAGAACAGAAATGGTCTCATTTCTAACATTACAAAGTAAATATTCCCTGCCATTCATAGGTGGACAGACAGCTGGATGTATACTGTAGGTGATTCCAGGTGTGATAGGAAGTCCTAATATTCAGGATAAAACCAAAACAAAAACCACCAAATTAGTAAACTGAGTAACTAATCTCAGTTTATTCCCTGTAGTAAAGGTTTTTGTGCACTGAATACCACTCATTTCTTCTACTTTTATGACATTGATTGTCATCTGCCTGTGATAATACAAACTATCAGAATTTAAGTAATATAATGAGAGGTAGAACAGCACACGATGATAAACTCGGGCAAGGTTATCTGAGCATTCAAGTTTGAGCAACTAATTGTAGATCTAGACCACACAGATGTCAGTATGTAGATTCAAAGAGAAAAGGAAGAAAATCAAAGTAGCAAGAACAAAGACATCATTAGAACCTGGAAAGTCTTCTAAGAAACACACTTGAAGAGCAGCAAGAATTGTTAATGCAAATTATTGTTTTGTAACAAAAACTTAATAAAGTGAATACATAAACAATGTAAAAGCTTGTTAATTGACATAAGAGGGTGTCAGCTCTTCATTTTCTGCCAGGATGGTTTGTGAGGGTGGTGGTTTTTTTGGTTGTTGTTTGGTTGGTTATTTTATTTGGTTGTAGAGGGTTTTTTGTGTCTTTTTGTTTTGTATTGGTTTTTTATTAATGGAAAAGAACTTGAAATTTCCAAAAACATGCATGTTGGTACTTGTGGGTATGAAATCACATTGCTCTTTCAGAAGCAATTTAGCCTAAACAGTGCAAGTTTGCTCATGTAAGAGTAAAAGGATGAGGTCTCTATGGCATATTGCAGTATGGTCCTTGGAATAAGATACTCATTTACTAAATAAATTACTGCATAGTACTGTATAATGGTGTTCACATTATAACTGACAATTAGCACCATTAAAGAGAACACTCATAAACAGCCAAAGCTCACATCAAATTAACACAGCCATGATTAAAATCACTCTTCTGATTTCTGCTCTTCACAGAAATAAGCGGCATTTTGCATAAAAATTACTACGAGGCAGCTAAGAAAAAAATTAAAAAATAACCTCATGGTTATGCTGGGATGGTGGTACCTCACTCCAGCAGCACACAGAGCACTGGCACGTCAGCTCCTCACTTGCTATGAAATATTAAGCATTGGGTTTCCCTCAGAGCAGCCAGCCAGCACAGTGAGCCCTGCCTGCTGCTGGGAACCAGTTTGGTGGCACAGGAAATTAAAGTGCTGCAATTACTCCTCTTGGCTCTAATGAGGGAAACCCAGGTTCTCTCCTGGCCTGAGGGAAGCTCATCTTCTTTATTTTAATTTTGTCACTTTTCCACTTAAGTGGTTTCTAGCATTTGCATGTCCACTTATATTACTGCGGCTTCAGAAAGAAAAAAATAACCTGAGGAATTATAGTGGAGAAGAACAACAACAAAATACAAAGGAGTCAGCAATTCATTAAAATTTAGAAAATGCAACATTAAAAAGTTTTCTTAACTCTAAGAAAAAAAAAAAAAAGAGCTTTTTTTCTAAACTGGCACAGAGCCCACGTCCTCATTAAGATTCACACTCCACTCACACAGCCATACACTAATGGTATCACTTTAATGCTGCATCACAGCACTACTTCCTGGCCTCACCCAGATATTGCTTGTAAAATGGCAAGAAAGAGGGGAAAAAGAAGTTTCTAGTGAATGCTGACCAGGCCTGGCATCAATCTGGATGTACGTGGAAGTTTGAAGCACATGGACATCTCTGATCATGAATGCTGCTTCAGAGAAAGCCAAACTCATAATGGCTTCATAAAGATCAAGTATCACTAAGGAAAATCTAATCAATAAATAAGCAATCAAGACCACATAATGAGAGAATACCATTACACATGCCATAGTTTAAAAAGAAGTCACAATATGCTACATTAAAGTACTGCAAGATAATACGCCTTTGATCCAACATGCCTTTAAAGCAGGAAACAAAAGGATGTTCTCATATATCTTACTAACTAATTTAACATATAAATCATAAAAAATATGATCCAGATGGGCTTCAATGAAGGAAACCAATTAATGTAGACAGCCTTACCATCTGACACATTAGTTGTAATAATAAAAACCAAACAACATGGTCAAACAATAATGCCCTGTATTATATCTGACATTTTTAATTACTTTCTGTATCCTCTTCAAGGAAAAAAAAAGACTACCAGCAAGCACTTTGTTTCCCAGAGGAAAAAACTTCTAAACTTAATGTGCACAGCCCTCGTTCTATGGATGAAACTGATCTGTGCTCCCTTGGGATGTGCTTTGGAACTAATGGGTTTTACATAGTCCACATCTGGTTGCAAAATAAAGACTTAGAAATCATTTCCTTTCAGCTGCATTGCCACTGTAACTGCTGCAGAACTGGAATGCCAATACCTACATGCTACTGTAAGCTTTTCCTGCGTCCATGGGCTCAGAATAATCAGAATGATTTAGGCTTTGCTTTCTGTAGGATAGAATTTTGGTTTATCCTTTCTACAGCCTCCTTAGAAATGCTACTTATCTGAGAAGTAGAGTGTTTTTGGCACAGACCTCCCAGCATCAGGCAACTGGGGTTGCATCAGACAGTTGCAAGCTGCACCACAATTAGCATTACAAATTAAAAGCCCCACTGAGAATACATGCACAGTTACTGATTGAGAAGTCTAATCCCAACTATTTAGACTGGTTTTGCATCTATCAGCACTAAAGACTCAATTTTATCACCTTAGACCTATTGGACCCTCCAAAATCCATCCACAGAAATACTTTGCAGCACTGAAAGTCAGAATTCTTGTAGGAGGTAGATAGCATCACAATAGGGAAAGGCTTGATTTGGAAACTGTTCTTCCTTTACTGAAAGAAAAAAAGTAAAGGAATGGCTGTGGGAATTCTGCTAATGTCATCACACCAAGGAAGGCCAGAGGCCAGAGGTCGATGTCATTGCAACAAACACAAATCACTTGGAAATTATTAGGATTAACACTAAATCTATCTGATCCAGCAATTTATTTTTTGCTCAGCATTCATAAACAAGCAAAAATAACATAAACATAAATTCCTAAAGGCAGTCAAAGCAGTCTCCCTTCAATTTTCTAGTTAATAGTCTAAACAACTGAAATGAAGAATATTTAAACCATAGGAAAATTATTTCTTAGGAACTTGTTTATTTCCACAGTACAAGAACTTCCATTCACCGAGTCACCATCAAATAGCCTTGGAATCCTAAGAAAGGGTTTCTGAAGTAGAAATACTATTTTTGACACAAACAAGAAGGCCCAGACTTTTTCACCCCCTCCACTCCCCCAAATTTCAGAAGAGCAGTTGACTGTCTCAGTAGATTTCCTGAGTGCATCTTCCTGAGATGCCAATTGAGACAGACAGGGCAGCATGACAGTGTTTGAGCCTTTGCTCCATCTGCTCAGGAATGGCCCCTTGTGAGAAATCACAGCTACATCAAGGAGATGATAATGGAAAAGCTCATTAAAAAGAAGACAAAAATAAAACCTCTACCTCTCAGAAAATCTAACATACAGGTACACAACTGGGATACACAAACCAGTTTCTAATTCTTGTGTGATGAGGTGGTTTGAACAGGCAGGTGAAAATTGGAGGTTTTGATAATGCACCAGAGTCTATTATAACCTCCCTTTGAGCTTTGGAAGCCTCTTCCCACTTCCAGATAAACATGACTTGGCTAAAGCCACATGTGATGAATTATGGCAAACTAGGGGGTGAATCAAGTCCCAAGACCAGCACTTCTTCTCACCCATGAATTTTCTGGGAAAGCAAGCACAGCTCCCTGCAACCTGCTCAGCATCCACATGCCACACTTGGGAACTGCATATCTGCTTACCCACAGGCAAAGGTAATCCCAGATAACTTCTTGTTTACCTCACCATGCAAAACCCTGCCTATCGAGTGAAAACTATCAACAAACTCTGGTGACACAGAAAACACTGCAGTGATGAAAGAGAGACCTGGGGCTATTGCTCACAAGCCAAAACCCAACTGCACCCAGAGAATGCCTGCACTCAGGGCGCTCCAAAGGCACATCCCCAGTCACTGCACAAGGTGCCTGGCCCTGTCCCTGACACTCCTGCGTTCCCAGAGCACTGTGCCCGAGTCCATCCCTCGCTCCTGGGATAGCTGTGGCCACTCTTGGCTGGGGCTGGCTGGGGCCCAGCACAGGCAGAGCAAACACAGAACTGTTTGTACAGGTCTGTGGACACGTCCTGTTAGTGCCAGGCAGGAGACAGCAGCTGAACCCAGGTACAGGTCAGGTCCTGTGCATGGGCAAGGAGGCAATTCCGATGACAGCGGTCTCAGCACCATGGCTCCCGATTTCTGCAAGTTCTTTGTAAGCGTCATGGGAAAGGAAGAGTTTGGAGGACAACGAGGTCACTTGGCAGAAATTTCTAAGCAGATCCTCCCACACATGGAAAGCTTATGGGACAAACGAGAAAAGTGGCTGTCTGCAACTTAACCCACGGGACATGAGAGCTGGCAAGGCCAGCAAAGCAGAGCTTGGAGCTGACATCGCAGAAGCACATGAGAGATTATGGACAGGGTGCAGTTTCTTTTTCACTGAAAGAAACATTGCCCTATTTCACAGTTGCCCTGGACTACAGCAATGCATTCTGATTTTGTTTTCCCTGAGAACACAAGCACGTGTCTGTCCACTCACCTCGACGGGGAACCTCTTGCCGTTGATGCTGTGTTCGGAGCCAGCCGATCCGTTGCTTTGGCCCCAGTGAAACTCCACTTTCTCTGCCTTGAATCTGCCCGGCAACCCGGCACCACTGACAAAATAATCGTCCTTCAACAGGATAGCAACTGCACACACAGAACAACGAGAAAGAAACTCAGCATAGTTCTTCTGAAACAGTTACAGTTTTTGCTCATTATATCAGAATACTTCTCCTAATGCATGTAAAATGTTGGGTCATCATTTTCCTCTTTAAAGGGATTGTTAAAAATCAGGTCTGCAAGTAATGTTGGCTAATTCTGGAAGTGATTATGAAGTTACACAGACTACAGAAAATCCCAAAGTCCAAATTTCTCAAGGACGTTTTGCCCTCCTTATTGGACTTCTGATTAAAATTTAAATGGAAACTACATCAAAACCTGTTTAATGTGGTTCCAGAGAGTAATGGCTGACCATGGTCCCTGCCCTTATAAACCCCTCAAGGTCTGTAGATCACAAGTTAAGAAAAGAATGGGTCTCCTGTTTTTTGAATTTCCTCTTTTTTGTTTGTGGGGACCCCTGTGCCCTCTCCCACCTCTACTGCTGGACATGCTGGGTGCTTTCATTATCCTCCCTGCTCCTCCCCTCTGTAAGATGGGGAGAGAAACAATAACATTTTTGAGACTCAGTCATGAGACATCCTCAACAAGAACTGGGTTTTATTACAGTAACTCTGTTATTATTATTACGTGATTCAATGAGAGTCAGAAAGATCTTCTTGGTATTCTCTTTTCACTTCCAAAAGCCTTTGTATTTTATGTAACAATAAAAGCTGCAGGTCCAAACAGAGAGCAGGAATCGTATGGTGGAACCTGGTACATGTTACAGGGTAGGCCTGTGGTCCAATCAAGAACTGATTCCAGCTTTCAAGAAATTCCTTTCTGCTACTCTCACTACACTACCCCCTTCCTTTCCAGCATCTCCTGGTTTTAATACACACCATTCCTAAAAATTGGTCCCCACAAAATTATTTCTTCTTATCCCTCACAAAAACAGAACTAAAATTTGAATTTTATTTCTGTAAAAGTCATTGCAGACCAGTGCTTGCTGTGCCTAGAATCCTGTGATTTCAGTTGTGGGGTTGATTTTGGAGATTTTTTCCTTTTTTAATGGAACTACCAAAACCCACAAGGATTTTGCTGCATTCTTAAGCCAACTGTGTGTCATCACAACAGGAACATTAATATAAATCCAATTTTATTATGTAAGAAGGAGGATTTTATTCACTGCTGAAAAAAACCAAAAGAAAGCTACTTGTGAAATAGAAGTTATTTCTCTGTTCGTGACTCAGTGCTGCAGGCCAGGCTTTATGCCCTCCCCTGACAGTGAGCTACAGCAGCATCATCTCAGGTGCAATTTTTCCATACAGCTCAACTTTAAATGGTTTGTGTCAAAACCATCTTGATTTTAAATTGCATGAGACGTTCAGGTGTTTCTAAACTGTGCCAGCAAAATCATGGGGCTGTTTTTTTCCTTGATTTCTGCTTCTTTCTGCACTGCCTTTGCATCCAAGTGCCTTGTGTAGGAGCATGGGTGGTGCAGAAGTGGCTGTAGGATAATGCCTGTGTCAGCCAGGGCACTGCTGGTAGTCACTGTCTGCTTACACCAAATCTGTCAAATATACATGACTGAAAGCACTACTGTTCTCTACTTACCTTAAAAAATTCTCAATGAGCTTAGCACTATTTTAAATGGTGAAAAAATCTCTTTCAATTAGCTACAAATTCCACAGATGAAATTGTAGGAGATGAGGAATACAGCAAAGCAGATTCACATGTGTCTGTTAAAAACCTCTGTGGAGACTCAGTTGCATCTAATAAATATTTGATAGTTCCCAAATAATTTATGGCTCTGTCAGGGGTCATTTTACTTGTTTTAGATTAATAATTAAAAAGGATAATTAGGAGGATGTACAATCTGGAATGTTCATCTAATTGTTCATTTTACAGTATTTCTTACACTGCTGAGCTGTATGACACATGTTCCCCATCACCTTCCCAGCTAAGCAGCATCCCCTTACTGCCAGGAACTCCCCTCCTTTTTCTGTGACCCCAGGTATTCAGGACTGAAAGAACCAAACAACACTTTACTGGCCTTTGGGAGCCACTGCTTTTATCCCAGGATTTCTGTAGAGTGCAGGGAATCAACCCCCAAGGCCCATTGATTTAAAACACTATATAATAGAGATTAAAAACCCAAAGAAAGTAGTGTGCAGCCACCAGGAGCACAATTGTGTAATGTCATTTTCTGGTTCAGGGCTGGTGTTGGGTGCTCATCACCCCTGTGAGAGCAGGAATAAACCTGGACTCAAAGCACCTCTTCCCCTGCCCTAGCAGAGCAGCTCTGATGGTCAGGACTAGCCAGAGTGATGCACATCACATAGGCAAGGTACTCAACAAAAACACATTTCTGACAGAAATTTTAGTAAGTTTCTCTAAGCAGAATTTAGAAGTTTTTGATATGAACAAAACTAATGCAAATACAACTATGAAATGTGTATTCCTCCAAGTGTCCCCTAGCTCTATGGTCTACTCTAGTGAAGGAATTGAACCCACATTAGTGCCTCTGCCAATGTAATTGTGCACAAAAGCACTTCTATAATATCCATTGATATTTTCTGAACAAATTGCTATTTTTTGTACATTGTCTGTTCTTTACCTGATAGATAAGGGGACACAAACAAGAAAGAGCAGAACAAATCTAAACAGAATTACTTTACAGAGTCTAAAAATAACTCATTGTTCAATCATTAAAAAAAAAAAATTACTAGGTCCTACAGCCATAAAAATAACCCAAGCAGCATATTTCCTGCCAGTTAATGAGCATTAAGGTTAAAGGCCTTTAGCTTTCCCAGGGACCCCTGTCTCTTTAAACCAGTCATTAATTGCCGAGAAATGCCCTCTACATCCATCACTATTTCTTAAACAGTTATTTAGTTTACTGTCTCTGTCAGTCTGCAATATGAAGGTCTTGTGTGGCCATCTGCTCCAAGACTCTGCTGCCAAAATTCATCACGATTTATGGCACAGTTGGCCTCTATCTTCTACCCACAAGCCAAAACATCCTACTTGGTTTGCTGCTCTACCACTTACCACCTTAAAAATTAATGCCAGGCAAGTTTCTTCAAAAGGTCAGAAAACCAAGAAAAGGAATTGGACTTGATAAAACAAGGGAGGAGTTAGGAGCTCAGCAGAAGAAATCAGGGCTGACAGGAAGGCAAAAAGAGTCTTCACGTTACCAGCAAAAGGCCGTAAGTTACCGGGAAAAGTGACACTTACTGTTGCTCTGAGAAGCAATAACTTGTCAGCAAAAATCCATACCCCAATGGGTGAAGAAATCAAATATAGCAGCAGTGCTAAAATCACCCAGCAGAGAAGACTGAAGCTTCAGCTTTCATTGCCAACTGTGCCAAGACCAGAAAATCTGCTGACACTTCTGACTTCAACAGAACAAGGTTCTGGCTGGTACCAGCACCCGTGTGGTCAGCAGGACCCGGGCTGTGACTGTCCCCTTGTACTCAGCACTGGGCTCACTTTTGGGCCCCTCACTGCAAGAAGGACATTGAGGGGCTAGAGTGTGTAAAGAGAAGGCAACGGAGCTGGGGATGGGTCTGGAGCACAGGTTTAATAAGGAACTGCTGAGGGAGCTGGGGGGGCTCAGCCTGGACAAAAGGAGGCTTAGGGGTGACCTCCTTGCTCTCTGCAACTCCCTGAAAGAAGGTTACAGCCAGGTGGGGGTCAGTCTCTTATCCCAGGTAAGAAGTGATGGGACAAGAAGAAATGGCCTCCACTGTTTCCAGGGGAGGTTTAGATTTAATGTTATCAAAAGGGTTGGCAAGCAGTGGAAGAGGCTGCCCAGGGAAGTGCTGGAGTCACCATCCCTGTAGGTATTTAAGAGATGTGTAGATGTGGCACTTAGGAACATGGTTTAGTGGTGTCCTTGGCAGTGCTGGGTTAATGGTAGGAATCAATATTCTTAAGGGTCTTTCCAACCTAAGTGATTCTGTGATTCTAACATGGCTTCCTATTGTGTGTGCAGCAATGTTACTGTGGCATGTACAGGATAGCATTAACACCCTTCTTAGAAGAATAGCACCATCACTTTTTCATGATCTTTATATTTATTGTTGATTACCACAAACTGCCTCTCTGACCATAAAAAGCAGGGTGCATAACATGAGTACATTAATTAAGCACCAAATTTCCATATCATTCAACCTTGCCTGAACCTCATGCTGCTACCAAGGGCAACCAAGTCAGGATTTCAAAGCAAACAGGAGCACTTCTCAGTGAATCTGGGAAAAAACCCTAAGTAATGCAGCAAAACCCCCAGTTATGCTTGGTGGTGGTTTATGTTAACTGGGTTTGCTTTGCAGTGAAGGAAAACAGGCTACAGTCTGCCACTCCATTTCATCTGAGGGGCAATAACTCCTGCTAAGATCCTGAACTGCTGGAGCTGGATCTGAGGCACTTGCTGGACTGCAGGCCATGGCTCAGATGTGAAGTGCCCTGGAGTTGATGGGTGTATCTGAGGTCACCCTGTATGCACAGCTGAGCCACCAACTCCAGAGCAGGTACATGCCCTGGGTCTGGCTAGCCCACCTGTGACAGGGGACACGGCACAGACAGCACTATAGAGATGCATGTCAGATGTTAATAAAGATAAAAATATACTTCCAATAAATAAAATTGAATTAATTAGTGGTTTAATCCAATTCCCTAAAAATACTTGACCTTGTCAAATGATGAGAGTGGCCTTATAATTTCTGCTTTTTACATTTTTAGAATTAAAGAGTAATCAAATGCATGCAGCTTTGCATATAAATCAACCTTGACCTTTCGTTGAACTGTTTTGGTAAAAATAAGCAGTACTCATGCCTGCTCTTTTTTTTCTAAAAGCCAGAAAAGACAGAGCAGAAAAGTATTCAGTTCAGTGAAGAACACTGTGCTATAATCATACCAGAAAAACATTAATAAGCCCCCCCCCTACTCTGAGCAGTTATTGCTCTTTCTTCTCTAAAATCTTCCAATTTCTAAGACTTCCCCTCTCCTTCCCCCTGAGCCCTGCATCTCAGCATTCTTTTGGATTAGGTGTTACAGCCTCCCAAAGCTGATAATTCAAGGTTACACCTTGAAACTCTTACATTGCCTTTTATTCTGAGGAATAACTGACTACCAAGAGAATTAGTTTAGACTGAGAAAAAAAAAACAACAACAAAAAATAGCAGCCCTTAAAAAAAACCCTTAAAATCAATCTGTAGAACTAGCTCTGCAGAGAATGCAGAGGCAGAGGTAGGTGGCTCCTACTGAAAAATTACATTAAAAAAAAAAGACAAAAATCCCAAACAACAGAACAATAAAAAAGGAGGAGAGTGGAACATGGCTTGAATTTTTAATTGACTGCAGTCAGGCTATGGAGAGAAGCAGAAGAGAACATACCTGTTTTTCCTGTGTTTTTCATCCAAGTCTTGTTTGAAGATTCATTGTCAAATCCATCCAGCTGCAGCTCTTGATACTCATCTCCAACATGGGCCAGGTGGTCTATGATGTCTATGGGGGACTGCTGAGACCCCCCACACTTCTCACTGGACGTCACCCAGTGCTCGGGACCGTAGGTACCTGTGAAAAAACACCAAAGTCAACATCCCAGCGCCTCCACAGTGCTGGAGAACTCTGAAGTGTGAGGATGAAGCACTTAAGCTGCCCAGGTAACTCCACCACAGTTACAATTCCCACGTTTGAAAGAGGTTAAGACTTTTGAACTTATGAGGAGACTGAGATCCTTTGGCTTTGTGCCGTGTTCTAACTTTGCCTCTGGCAGTAATGAACAATGGTCTTTTAAAAAACAACTATTCTATAAAACTTTCTGCAGTTCCCAAGCTCCTCCTGTGCATATGTTATCAATTACCATGTTGCTCCAGGAACTTCCCAAAAGCTCCAGCCTTAATATATTACTGTATAGTTTATCCTTTCATTATGGACAAATAATGCAACAGACACACATTAACTTTGTGTTCTTGCAATACTGTTCTTAGATAATATGATCTTTATTAATGATCTCATTTCTTTTGGAGGCTTTGAAGCCAGAAAAAAATAAAAGAAAGAATTAAACTAAATGTATGTTAGTACATTTGAAGAAAACAACAATGGAAAAAAACTATTCTGGAAGAAGTAAACAGGACAATAACCTCTCAGGAATACACAGTAAATTTATTTCCTTGCTCTTCTTATGTAAGTTTTCTGGTTTTGATGAACAATTAAAATAATATGGAAAAATTAAAGGTCTGAGGCAAAGACCTTGTCATCTACACCACATACCAGCCTGAGATGTACTAGAACACCAGGGACCCTCAGCACCATTCTTAGAAGGATCTAAAATGAATTTCAAATTTTTCTTATGATCTGCCTCTCTAACCCTTAAGATGTATTAACAGAGACTGAGAGCTTATCTTCCTATGAGTGCAAACAATGGTTTAAGCTCACAAAATAACAGCATAGATTTCTTGTAAAGCACTTGTTGCTCACAGCTCTTGAAGTGCTTTACAGCAGGAATCAGCTATGTTATTTTCATGTAAAGACAAGGGAAGTTGATGTCTGAGAAGGAAAGCAACTTGCCCAAGCTCAAAAACCAAGTGACAGAGCTGAACTCTGCTCTCCTGAGAGTCCTGATGTCACACCTGTGTCACACCTCTGAACTACACAGTCAGCAGGTCTGTTCAGTAGGCAGCCAGCAGGAAATGATGCATCAATGTGCATTTATTGCCCTTGCATCTGAGAAACATATGTACATTCAATTAGTGCCATCCAAACCCAGCAGTTGGGAAGAGCAGTTTCTTTGGCCTCTGGGTTTAATCTGTCTAGTTGCAAAGTGCATTAGTGCTCTGTTCTCATGAGCTGATGCAGGATGCTTAATCAATAGCAAGATTTTTCTATACTCACCACACACAAATGCTGTCTGGTACCCAAATGACAATAAGAAAATTTTACTTTCAAGTACAATTAGGCAAAATTGCAATATTATTTAAAAATCATTTACATCATCTGCCCAGGTAAAAATCAGTTTTGTTTACCTCAGGGTTCAACTTCTATTGTCAGCAAGAGCTGCTTTCAGTTATTTCCCAATGTATCAGAACCAAGGAGAAGAGAATTATTAAAACCCCTACATGGGAGAAACCAAATGTCTTCCACTCAGGAACAGCTATTTTTCCCCAGTCAGGATGCTCTTAGTAATTGGTTTGTAGTGAGTTAATTGGAAATTCAGATTTACTTTACATATAACCTTGCATCTACCTCATGAAATTTGGGAATTTGCTTTAAATATCTAGCACTACACATAATCAAACCCACCAGCTCTTGTTTTCTGGCTTTATTATAAACAAGGGGTGAGCTTTTCAAAAACACTCTACCCACAGAGGCTATCGCAGTGGTTTCAGCTGTGCATTCAAAAGGAGCTGTGCACTCCAATTTTTCTTTTTTAAGTATTCTGGTGTCAATGAGGAATTTTTTCCTTTTTTTAAGTAGGCAGATTTATTTTAACAGAGACTGTAGGACTTATTCCATGCATCTTGTCACAATTATTAATTAATTTATTTGTTTTAAGTATAGCCAGCTCTCAACCTATTTGCAGTGAAAACTGCCTTGTCAAAATGAATAAAATAAGCCATAAGGGTAAACAAACAAACCACCATGTTGAATTAAAACCTCAAGTGACTTAGGTACCTGAACTGATTCTTGCTGAAATGTAGTGTTTCACAGACTTTTGAAGGCTTTGTTTCATTTTAAAAAACAAGTATTCTGGGTTTTTTCTTAAATTAATTTAACTTGCTTGAATTAATTTCATAGCAATAAATCTCTTTCGATAAACAAGTAGCTTCACTTGCTTGTAAATCTATAATTTAACAAAATAAAGCCTAGCAGGATCTTCTTTCTTCATGTGACAGGGTAAGTTTCCATCCATAAATTGTTTCCATACTCGTGCTGAATTATTAAAGAAAAAAAAATCTAATGCAATGAAACTCTCTCAGCAATTCAAAACCCCAACTTAGTGCTGGTGCTGTGACTCCAAGTCCTGACATCACAAATTACAGACATAAGGCTAAGCTCTGATTTAGAGGTTCAAGACTTGCTAGTTAAAATCAGCCCAGGATTTTATAAATGGTTAGACTTGCCATTAATTTCTTTCACAGGTTTTTGATATGTAAATGACTACATGCAATGTGACCTGCACATTATTGCTGCAGCCTGAGACAGGTACAGGGGCCACAACCCCAACATCTCCATTTCCAGCAGCACAGAACTGGGGCTGTCCCAGCTTTAACAATGACCACAGAAAGGGGAAAGGCCAGGGAGGGGAGAGAAAAACTTTTGAGTTTGAAACAAAACTAAATAAATTATACCTCCTAGGAAAAAAAAAACAACAAAACCTCAACAACCTATAAAAGTAATCAAGAATAGTGCAATGTGATTCACAAATTCCCAGGTGGCCATCAGAAGGATTCAGGCCCAACTGCCTGTTTTTTTCCATGGACATTCAAGTGCACTTTCAATTAAAACTGATCTTCCACTACAGATTTCAAATTAATTCTTCTTCCAAGTGTCTCACGCTCCAGACATCCTTGCTTTGCAAAAAAGCCCTATATCATTAGAGGAGGAAATAGAACACTTTTTCCAAGCTTGCAGATATTGATTACCTATTCCTTCCATCAAAGCACAATTGCCATTCTGCACTGTATAAATCTCTTCAGCGTTAGACACTTTATAAAGTAGTGAGAATTATATCATTAATCATTTGCAGTTACACCTGTCTTACTTTATTGAATTCTTTGTTTTTTAGAACTTTAAATAAATGCTTTTAAATAAAAACATGACACTAAATAAAGACTCTGTTTCACTTAAACCTAGTTAAAAAAAGAAATCCTGTAATTCTGTGTGTGACATTTACCCATCTGAAACACAGAAACTTATGGCTATTTGTATTTCATTTTTCCAACAGTAAGCATGGTTGACTTAAATCAAATAAAATTTCAAATGAATTTGAGTTGGCCTTTTAAGGCTGATAAATAATTCGGTTTTCAGAAACCAAGTTAAGATCCCACACCTGTGTTAACAAATAACACACATTTCCACTGAGATGGTGGGACAACCTGCAGGCAAAGGTAAACATCAGGCAGCCCCATCCTACAGCTGGAATATTTGATGCCGAGGCAGCACAGAAAGAATGATAACTGATAACGTTTGGCATCTGCAGGAACTGAAGTCAGAGTGCTGCCTCCAGGAAACCATGGGCTTGGGTCCAACAGCTGGGACAGGAGGGCTGGATCCACCAGGGCAGGAGGGCTGGATGCACCCCAGATCCACCAGGGAAGGAGGGCTGGATGCACCCCAGATCCACCAGGGAAGGAGGGCTGGATCCACCCCAGATCCACCAGGGAAGGAGGGCTGGATGCACCCCAGATCCACCAGGGAAGGAGGGCTGGATCCACCCCAGATCCACCAGGGAAGGAGGACTGGATCCACCCCCAGGTCACCCAAACCCCTGGCAGTAAGTGCAGGGCGTGCTGGGGTCTCTGATGTTTTCTCTGCTGAAATCAGGGACAAAAGGGCTCCCAAGGCTGGAAGGAGAGCTGGGGTCAGGGAGCTCAGCAGCACCTGGGGTCTCACACACATTTCAACCCACACTTCACGCCAGATTTATTTTAACAGATGATAAAAAGATGTTCTCAGCCATCCTTGTCTGAAATTACCTGATGCTTCCTAGAATCTTTTCTCATGCAAAATCATTCTGTCAATGACTGCAGTAACTTTAATAGTTTTTTAATACACTGTCTGCTCCTTAAATATAATCTAAGATTACTTTTTTCTTCTTTTTACTGTACAAAGAAATGAGCAGTCTTCATTAATGAAAAACCATTAAAGTAATGTATTCTGCCAAAATCTAATTAAAGCTTGTGTAAAAACTTCCACTTAAAAAAAATCAAATATATTTGTTTTTCTCCTACAGGTTTTGTTTAAAACATCTGTTATTAAAAACATTATCATTTCCTTGATTTAACATAACTTTTTGATTAATGGATCAGCTATTCTGATATAAACTGGTGTGTAATATATATACCTTTACACAGATAGAGCTTAACAGAAATCAGCAATTTTTGAGTAATATGATTTTCATCATTCGTTTGTAAAGAGGTAGAAATATCAGCTTTTTTTTTTTTTAACATTTCACTTGTTTGCTGAACATTTTTACAAACATTTGATTTTAAATCTCAGGCCTGACATGGAAAGAACTAGTTTAGGAGTCTTAATTTTGGAGGCTTTTTTATTATTTGTTCTTCTTGAGTCCTTTTTTAACAGAATTACCTCAGACAATTCTTTGTCTCTACTCAGTGCCTCTTTACTCTTCATTTTTGAATGAAAACTGTAATAATGATTGCAAAGCAATCAAATCCCCTCATTTCTGCAATTAGCTTGGTCATTTCATGGAGACATCCTATCCCATCATCTTAATATAGGAGAAAATTCCATGTTTCTCTTCGAACAAAATCCAATCAGTTATTAGGGATGAATAGAATGAATCAGTATTTCCTTTTCAAATAAAAACAGAGGTCCCAGCCTAGAGACTT